GACATCTAGATGCGCCCCCGCGGTGGTGTCGCAGGAGAGGGTTCAGGGGACGGGGGACCCTCCTGGGGCAGGGAGGGGGTCATCCGCGGGGGTGGGAGTTCCCACCAGAGAAAATCCAACCCTGATGCTTTTGCCCTCGGGAGCTCCTCTGGGGCAGAAACGTTTCTGTTCTTCTGTGGGGTGAATGCATCAGAGGGGCTCTTGGGGGCTCAGGCAATGTGGCTTCCGAGTCACGCTGCCACCCTTCCCACCTCCGCCGAACATCCGTGGCTGCGTCAGCGGCACGAGGGCTCCGTGCTGGCCAGAGGGCCAGAGCGCTTCCTCTTCTCTCGCTGAAGTGAGGCCAAGCTTGGCCGCCACTCCCCCCCCAGCAATCCCGTCTCTCCTCCTCCTCTGCCCCCTCTAATCTCTTTTCCTCCCTCCGCACAACCGAGGTTAGGGGTGAAGTGGCTGCTTCCTCCCCAGCCAGCACGGCTTGGCCCGCGGGTTACAAAGAAGAGGAAATAACAAGCTTGTTGTCTTCGTGCCCGGGCTGCCGTGGCCGCGGGGTCACTTTCCACAAGGGAGGTGGGGTGTCCTCGGGCGGAGGCCCGCGTTGCCCCTCGGGTTGGCGGCGACCCTGCTGTCCTGGAGGGAAGTGAGCGCTGGGCTGCGCTCCATGGCCACGTGGATCGCACCACCAGGCCGCTGGAACAAGGAAGGAGGCCACCCACTGACCTAGACGGACGCACAAGACACGTGTCCGCATATCCGAGAACCCCCCAGCATTGATGGCTTGATTCAATTTATACCTCTGCCTCTCTGGCTGGGGGTGGTGGTTGGGCTGTCACAGCCCCCGCCATCACTATCTCACTGGTCCAAGGCTGTCGCGGGTCTTGCTCCCGTGCGGCTGCATCGGGTGGCACAGGGTGGAGGAATTGCGCAACTCTTGAAATGGGAAGGGGCACCAATGAGAAGAACCCCGAATGGACCAGGGCAGTGTGGCCATCCCATCCTCTCGGTGCATTTGGGTGGAAAATTTGAGCATTTCCTGGACCTACAATGGCTGCCTTCCCAACCCGGCTGCTTCCGAACGTGCGGGCCAAAGGTTGAGGTTGTTGATGAGATCTTGCCACCTCCAGCGGGTCCCACGGTGGTGGTGGCGGTGCTGTTTGCTGCTGTTCGGGGTTGCACCTGTTTTCCAGTGGGGAGAGCGGCTTGCACGTTCAACCCACTTCTTCTTCTCTTCCCAGCTGAACCCACCAGTGACCCTGATCCTGCAGGATGACACTTGCTGGCTGGCCAAGCTTTCTTTGGTTTCTGGAGAAGGGGACGCCAATTCGGTGATCTACAAGAAGGGTCAGTACCTGGGCAGGGACCCCTGCCTGATTTGGGGTGGGGAGCTGGAAGAGAAAGGTATTCATTCCAGTACGGGCAAGGATGCTAAAAAGACCCCCTCCCAAGAGAAATACATTTTTAGTAGTTTTCACAAGCTAATTCTCCCCAATCTGATGCCCCCCACCCCAGAGATATTGGGGAAAATTCCCAGAATGGCGGCTGGCTAGCCTAGCCAAGGCTTGGTGGGCGTTTTAGCCCAACATACCTGGTTCAGAGAAGGTAAATTCCATATTTCATTAACAGCCAAATGTCTGGATATCTTGCAGCAGAATATCGGTGCCCGGTCCTGGTGTCTGTATTTCCTGAAATAATGCCATTAGCTATACTTGGGTCCATCTGTATATCTCAGGCAGGAAAGAGGGCTGACAAATCGGAGGCGTCCTTGTCCTTGAAGGCAAAATATAGATTTTTTTTTCTTCCCAGCAGAGCCAGGGAGGTAGATGAGATTTGGAAAGCATGGCCGTGGTAAACAGACACCCGCAGGCGGGAGGATGTAGGGATTAAATTGAAGCTCTGCTGGGAAAGGCAGGTTTGAAGAAAGGGAGGTGGGTCGGCAGCACTAGATGTTTCCAGGGAGGGCACCCCGGGCACAAGGAAGGGGCACGGGCAGGGGGCTCCCAACTGGACAGGTAGGCTGTGCTAGCGGATTAGTTGAGAGGGCAAGAAAGAACGTTGTGCCGTTTTGGGGAAATGTGTGGTCCAACGCTGCCACCTCTCTTTGGCTGTGGGCATTGCGCAGAGTCAGTGCAACGTTCGGGAAGGCCTTTTGACGCTGCTGCTAAAAAAGGAGGTCGGTGACGTTTCTGCCTGCCCCTCAGATGCTCGCGTCCATTAGTCGTTCTTTCATTTGAATCCGCAGAGGCGCCAGGCGTCCCAGTGGCCGAGCGACTTCATCCTACGTCTTTGATGTATCATCGTTGCTCAGATTTTCTCAGAATTCCTTGGGGTACTTGGCCATACCAGAATTTTTAATAATGGCACATCGTCCCCAGAAGCCTAGAGGGCAGAAGCCCCTTTTTATACATGTAATAAATAATATGTCCTCTCTGACACCCCCCTCCCCACACAATGTATATATATATAGAGAAATGCAGATATAGATATAAAAAATTATATATAGTATGTCATATGTAGCTCTCTTTTCTCCCCCCCTTTTTTCCATATGCTGTTGGACAATCAAGTGAGCAACTGGTGGTTAATACGTTTTTCAGGTCCTTCTGCCGTTCGTCGGGGTTGTTGCAGAATTCAGCTCCGAAAAACCCATCATGGATTCAAACCATTCCACTTCATAACATTTATTCTGGGCTTCTCTTTCTCCATGCCCCAGAAAGTCACCCTCCCAAGGCTGCTTGGGAGATGTTTAGGTCCAAATGGAAGGACATCTCCCCAGGCAAAAATTGGCCGTTTCACAGAGCAAGCAGCGCCGAAGCTGGACGACGCTGCGTCGTCCGACGTGGGACTCCCATGATTGTATTTTTTTCCTCTTTGTCAATTCCCAGATGACTCCATTTGGTGTAAAACCACCAAGCCTCTTTCGGAAGGAGATGCGCTGAAGGCGTTCGTCATGGCTGAGCCGATGGGGATCCCCAACCACGCTGGGAAGACCGAGAGTGGGGAGTCTGCTCCCCCGGTAGCTCTGCCTCCCGAAATCCAGCTTCTTCCACAGCAAGCTGGGATGGCAGCCATCTTGGCCACGGCAGTTGTCAACAGTAAGTGATCGGGGCAGGGCTTAAGGCTTTTACGCAGCCATCCCCGCCAGAGGTGTGGGTGCCAACTGCCAGGAATTCTGGGAGTTGAAGTCCACGCATCTGGCAGCTGCTGGGGCATAACTGATTTGTGCTGGGCTCGAATGTCTGGTCCCCAGTCCATCCACATTACTGAGCTCAGTGGTTCCTCTCACTATCCACCGACTATCCACTGTAAATCATTGCCGCCCCCCTCCCCAAGTCCTGCGGTGCTGCCTCATTGTGGCAGGGATGGTTAAAGAACGTCGGGAATGTATGCCAAGAGTATACATTCCCAGCAGGGTCACCCAAAGCGGGAAGGTCATGCCAGCTGCCCAGCTAAAGCCAGCAGGCCCCTCTGCTGGGCAGCAGCAATAGAGGAAGACGCTGCAGGCATTTAGCAACGGTGGCAAGGGCATGCGTTCACACTGCATGGGAGGAGGCCGCGATGAAATCACTCCTGTAGTTTTATCAAGAAAACCACGTGGATAGAAAATGTAAAATGATGGACGGTATAGTGCCGGATGAGATCGCTAAGGGTCGACAACAACTTCATGGCATGTAATCATCCAACCATTGCAGGCCCAATCCTATGGGAAAGTGGCAGGCAATGAAACAGCGGGTTTATGCCCCTAATAATCCTGCGATGTTGGGCGCGGCTGAAAGAGCAATGGCTTTGTGGCTGGGCTTCGTGGGGGCCCGGGTCCACGGCCGACCCTGCCCTGAGTCCCCGTTCTCGGAGGGCTCTCCCTGGCCCTGGCGCCAGACACGACTGTGCCCAGGTCTTCCCCTTCTCCGATTCCCTTCCGCCTTCCAGAGGACGTGTTTCCCTGCAAAGACTGCGGCATCTGGTACCGGAGCGAGCGGAACCTGCAGGCCCACCTGATGTACTACTGTGCCAGCCGCCAAAGCACCGGCTCGCCCGCCATGGATGAAAAGCCCAAGGAGGCCTACCCCAATGAGCGCATCTGCCCCTTCCCCCAGTGCCAGAAGAGCTGCCCCAGCGCCAGCTCCCTGGAGATCCACATGCGCAGCCACAGCGGTAAGAGGGCGCCGCCCCCAGTTTGGCCCAGGTGGTGGGGGAGGCCCGGGAAGAAGCGGTCCCCATTCAGGCGCAGAGGCTGGATGTGCGTGCCCAGACCTCAGTCCGCACACTTCAAAGGACAGCAGTGACAGGAAGTCTAGTTAAGGTGGTGGGGCTGTTCTCTTGCACAAGCAGGCAGGAAGGCAGGGAGACTTACCTCAGCCGCGGGGAACGCCTGCAGCCCTGCCAAAGCCCAGCTGTTTTGGTTTGGGTTTTTTTAAAGATTTTCTGATTAGGGAAAGTTAAGGGGGACCGGGGTTCAGGTAAGTCAGCGCAGCCTGACTGCCACCGGCACCCATTCAGCAGGCGTAGCTCAGCATCTCCATCACGCAGAAAACCGTGGGCCGGCCCTGCCATTTGGGCAATGGGACGACACCATTTTTGTCCCGCTCGTGCCATTCACGCCTGGCTTCTTCTTTCAGGAGAGAGGCCATTCGTCTGTCTCATCTGTCTGTCTGCCTTTACAACAAAAGCCAACTGTGAGCGACATCTGAAAGTTCACACAGATACCCTGAATGGTAAGTTTGGCCTCAGGGCTGGAAGTACAGCATGGAACGAACCCTTCTGAGATATCCACCAGCTGTTCTCCTTGCTCTTCCTGGTTCACTCACACTTGCGCAAGCCCAAAGCAAGGCTCCATTGCTTGGGGGTGGGGACTTCTGTTTTGCCCAGGGTCCTGCTCCCAAGAGTTCCCCATTGAACCCTCTCGTGGTTGAGGTTAACTGGTTATGAATTCGGAGTAAGCACTGGGCCGCAGCAGCCGTATGGACAGTTGGACAGAAGATGTTGGCATGCTGGGCGAGGGCAGTGGAAAGCTGTAAAAACAAACAGGGTTGTCTTAGGCTACGAGGGAGAAGAGTGTTGGCCCCTGTTAGATGCCTCTTTGGAGAGGCATAGCTCAGTGGCAGAGCCTTTGCCTGACATGCAGAAGATCCTAGATTCAACGCTCAGCGTCTCCAGATAGGAGAGCTTGGCTTGAGACTCAGGAAAGCCACTGCTACTCAGTGTAATAATTAGACTAGATGGACCAAAGACATTTAAATGAATATGAGTTCATTTGCTACACTTCTAAGTAGGCTTTGTCCATATGTGCTGCCTCATCCCACCCACGGTTCACTTGCTCTCCACCGGCACCCCTTGCCCCTAATGTAGCTGGAATGTAGCTTATTGGTGGACCACCACCAGCTTTGCACGCAGATGTCCCCAACTTCAGTGCCTGGTACCCACCATCAACTTGTTTGTGGAGGGGTGTTGGCAGCCCACATAAGTAGTGCCAAGAATCAGGCAGCTTCCTGTGCTTACAGGTGTCTGCCACAGCTGTGGCTTCATCTCCACCACTCGGGACATCCTCTACAGCCACTTGGTCACGAATCACATGATCTGCCAGCCTGGCTCCAAAGGAGAGCTCTACTCCCCAAGTCCCACCATCCCTGCTTCCACCACTAAGCCACTGGTCCCGGGTAAGTGAGGGGTTTCCAGAGACAGGTGTGGAGGCAGCCTCCCATCATGGTTAGAACGTCAACCTAGGGTTCTGGGCCCTTTAACAGAGGAACCTATTGCATAAGGTTCTGTTTCTTGTAATTAAAAATAGTTGGGTAGTGAACTCGCTGGCGGATTCCAGCAAGTGTCCATAGGCAGATTGGTATTGACAGCGACCAGGTTGCCTGGTCAAGTTAATTTTGGGGTTGCATGAGAGATGGCTTGCTCTGAATTCATCCTGCTAGGTCTGGCCTTGGAGAGCAAGAAGATCATTGAGTTCACAGAAGATGCTAAGCAAGATGGCTTTGGCTTGATTTGTGCAAGCCTGATTAGTTGTGATTTACCCAGTCAGTAAACGATGGTGTAGTGCGACACGTGAGCCCAGTCCCCGCGTGAGTTTCCGTAAAGGTCCAACCCTTCTGCTTGTCTTCTCATCTGCAGGCTTGAGTTCTCCAGGCTCGTCCTCTGCACTCAAGTGCAGCTTCTGTGGCTACGTGGCCACCTGCCTGACCAGCCTCCAGCAGCACGGGGCTCTGCACTGCACTGCAGCAGCGGCTCTGCCCAGCTCAGACCCCAAAGCTGCCCCGCAGAGCCAGTCGGAGGCCCCTGCCAAGTCACCTCTACAAGGGGTGAAGGGGTCCCCTGCAGAGGAGGCGGGAAACTGTTCTCCTCCCCAAGAAAAAAGTCCCCCTGCCGCCTGGGCTGATGGGGCACCCCCCGTGCAAATCAAGGAAGAGCCCTTAGATGAGGGGGAAAACCCTCAAGGAGTCCCCCAAGAAGAGACGGCTTCTGAACCGGAGGCTGAGCTCGATGCCTCCTCCAGGGCGCCCTCGCCGCACAGCCTGCACTCGGTGAAGGTGAAGTCTGAGATCACCAGCCCCACGCCAGGATCCAGCCCGGTGCCCGGCGAGCTTGGTGCCAGTGCTCCTGGAGGCACCGTCTTTCTGCCCCAGTACGTGTTTGGCCATGAAGCCAGCGTGATGCCACAGGCGTCGGAGATCTTGGCCAAGATGTCCGAGCTGGTCCACAGCCGCCTGAAGCAAGGCCACGGGGGGGTGCCACCCGCCCTCTTCCCCGGCACCCCGGTGCCCAAAGGCGCAACCTGCTTTGAGTGTGAGATCACGTTCAACAACATCAACAACTATTACGTCCACAAGCGCCTTTATTGCTCCAGCCGCCGCCTCACGGAGGAAGGTCCCACCGGCCCACGCAAAGCAAAGCTGGCGCCCGGCGCTGCGCCCAAAGGTCTGAGCACTGCCGGGCCACATCTGTCGCCCCAGCCCCCCGGAGAGAGCAGAGCAGCACCGGAGGGGGAGCCTGAGGGGGACGCCACCCCTCCTGCCCTAGAGATCAAGCAAGAGGTCAA